GTGACTCTGATGATCACCCTGGTTTGCAAATGAGAGGCCAAATTGCTATTGAAGCTGAATGTAATCAATTGGAAATTATGAAAGGTTCACATAAAAATTGTATAAGGAAACTGGGACATTATGAAGGATAATGACTTAAGGAGAATGGATTCCCCCAAAATCTCATTATGCATTGTCATTCATATCTGAGTCATGTTCAATGTGTGTATGAAAAGTGATGTCCTTCTCAAATGACCAAAGTTATAAAAACAAAAGAAAAAAGAGAGAGAGAGAGAGATGATGTTTGACACTGTGGTTCTATGGACCCTACTTTGAGTAGTAAGGTCGTAGACTGTAAGCTCAATGAGGACAGAGCTCTCTTTGTTTCTGTCTATGTACCTAGCATCTCTCATAATTCCTGGCACATGGTAGGTCCTCACATTGTGTCTGTTGAATGAATAAATCTCCCCCTCCTATAAGAATACCTGGGTCTGATTAAGGCTTTTTTGTGTGTTTTCCATAAAATCTGTGTGTGCAGATATGACATATCTTTGCCAGCATTTATAATAGTATACTCAAGTAGAGCTTTTGCTTGTTTGTTCCTGCTTTCCTTTCACTAATGATAAATTGCCTGAGGGCAGGAACCATATAATTTTCCACCATGTTTCTCAGTACTTAGAACCGAAGGCACTTAGGAAATGTCTGTTAAATAAATAAATGATTTGAAAAGGCAAAATCTGCTTTTTTATCTTCCAAAGTTGCAATTGAGCTTCCACTGCCATGTATTTCCCATATTCTCAGGAGAGTGGATGGATGAAGAGGTGCGTATTGAAGACAAAATAGGAATGGGTGTCTGGGAAGGTACATCCTGGAGCAGAAATTCACAAGTGGCGTCATCATTAGATAAGATGCAGGAGTTCAAAGGGCTCAGCAAATGAGGAAATGTCTCCACAGAAGCAGACTCAATACATCAGCAGTTGTTATTTTCAACTGGTGCCTTCTGTCATGAAGAATAGCTGCTCTGCCAGGTCAGAATTGTTTTGGCCACCTTCAAGGTCATTGTACTTTCCCAGATCTGGCACTGAATCTAGAGGCTGGCAAATCTGGCTTCTTAAAGTGGATTAGGTGGGCCCCGCAGAGAGCTCTGTGTTCTGGCTGCATTCCCAATTCTTACAGCCTAAAGCCCTGGGGATGTTTCTCTGAGGACAGCCACCTCTTTTGTCCCTCTTTGGATTTGAGTCTAGCCCCCCGGACCTTAGCCTTGTGCACTACTTCATACACTCTCATTGTCCACATCTGTTCTGCTACAACCACAAGCTTTTTGTCATCATCATAAGGGTATTCTGGTAGGGAAGACATAAATTAACCCGTGGCCAAAGTCCAGAATCAGAAATTGACTTATATATAACTGTCAAAAACAAAATCAAGAATGAATGAAAGAATGAGTTTCTGTTGAAAAGCACTTGAGTAATGATATGAAATTCCATCTCTGTTTTCTGTCAGTTCCTTAAAATTGCTTAAATTTATAACCCTTCCATGTAAAAATGGGAGTTACATTGAAAGACTTTCTAAACCTTTTCCAGATAATCAGTGAGCTAATTATTTGAACCAGATGAAAGAACTGTCCATGCAGACCCTTCTCCCTTGTCCTAATTTCTGTTTGACTTCCATTGGCCTCTTATTTCATTTTTTTTTAAAGATTTTATTTATTTATTTGAGAGATAGAATGAGAGAGAGAGAGCACATGAGAGGGGGGAGGGTCAGAGGGAGAAGCAGACT